ATGTAAAAATGTGCACGCATATGCGTTAAAGAATGTGTTAAAATTAGTCTAGTAAAGCTCAACCCAAGTTTACAACTAAAAAAAGGCAAATTAAGTTTAAGAAACATCAAATTAGCCCAAACTACTGAATCACATGAATTATATATAGTAATTTATAGGGTTTTGACGTTTAAAAAAATCAAAAACCAAAATAAATTTTTCGTTGAGCTACAAACTATCTACGTCGAGCCCCAAACCTCCTTCTTCGGTCTTCTTCTAGTTTAGTAGCAAGCGATCCTAATAATGCACAATCTTCAATAGTTGATGATTGTGATGATGATGAGGTTGATAATGAAATGTTTCCATCTACAAGAAGTAATAGAAACTCTTGAATCAAAATAAGGGAGCTCGATAAAGAGCTAGACAAGATTGAATTGAAATCCAATAAAGAGCTAGACAAAATTTTAGATTTTTTTAAGTCGGTGTTCTTGTCTAAATTAATAATAGGAATTTATTACAAAGTAATTGTAGTACACACACACTCTTATAATATTTAATTCTCGATTGAGAGGCATTGTCACGCATTATGTATTTTAGAACATTAGCTCAAGCAGCAAATAGAGGAATTTTTGGTGGGGGTAAGGGTGGAATTTTGGGTCGGGTAGTTGCAACTTGAGAAAAATTGGTTTGCTTGTTCGAGTATTTTAAACTTTGATGATATCATATTAAATCTTAATTTTTTAACTTAAAAAGATTAATTTAGTCAAGAATAATCAAGGCCTCATATTTAAGGGATATAAGTTACACTTGAACCACAATAATTTGTCATGTTTGAGGTGTATTTATGTGAACAACACTATCATGCCAACCTGTCATTTGATAGATATAAAGAGACCAATAGCTATCCAACTGCAATAAAAATTTAAGCCCAGTGACCCAATACTAATTAACAACAAAATTTTGGACAACTCAAGTACCACTACATACTAGAATAGTTCCCTGGAAACTTTCGATTGCATCGTTTGAAGTTCTTGTATCAATGAAGCATTTTCAAATAAAATAATGTTACACAAGCACAAAGTAATCAGAAAAAATACATTTACTGATGACCAATTTAGCAGGTTGCCACTTCATTCAAGAGTCTTGAGCACTGTCAAATACAGCACAAATCCCATAAATTACTCAATTCGGAACTCGCCTATCAAGTCTTAGTTCTGAAGAGTGTGAGGATACCATCGGTTTTGACCGTTGTAACAACAGACAGACTAAGTAAAAAAGATCAAAAGAAGACATCAGCCGAACAAATTTGGTCACGACATTTTCTCTTCTAAATCTTATGAGTTATGCTGCTTGGATAGGGTTTGGGGACAGGGTCTGTGACAGGTGCTGCGTTGTGGTTCCTTTCTTCTTTTCTTTTCTGTTTTTTTTTCTTCCAAACTGCCAAATGAAATGTTGACACGCGTCCCCTTGATTTTAAATCTTGTCACCAACCCTACTTGTGTAGCATAACTCAAATCTTATCATGAAGGGTCGCGACCAAATCATGGGCATCGTCTAAAAGTTTCCACACGTCAAGATGTCCAGACATGCTATTGCACTCCCGCATGATTTCATCCATGCTGCTGTATTTTTCTATGATCAGTTAGATATTGAGATTAATGCAATGAGTAGCAAATTTAGCTCCGCTCAAATAAAGGACTTCTTCTGCAGAGTGAATCACTAGCCCTAGGAACTAAAACTTGAGGCTGACTGCAGTAATTTCTTTTTGGCCCCTATTTCTAAACGATTCTCTATATTAAATCACCACCATATATAACCGAATATTACTGATAATCTTTGATAAAAAGCTCCAAGTTTCACATATTTTAATTGGCACAAACCATGAAAGTCGGCATATATGGACTATGAATGCATTGAGAAGACAAAACGTGAAATGCAAAACTCACCATTGATCGCACGAGCTTCAATGCACTAGTGTAAACCTGTGGTACAACACAGAAATAAGTGATGTAGAACTTCAGTATATATTAAAATTTGTACTGTTGACAATAACTCGTTTCTTCCATCGGAACAAGTTAAAGTGAAAAAAAAGTTTGCCGGTGGCTTTATTTTGACATTACTTTTCCTACAATCTTCACAGTTCCATAGAAAAAGAGAAAAAAAGAGTAAAGAAAAGAGAGTCAGGCGACTAACTTTACTAAGGCAGAGAAATTAATCATTTCCTAATCATAAGAAAGAGTATCTACTAGTGCATAGGCTTCGCCATAATCTAAAAGAAAAGAAACAACAATAAAATAAGACTGTAAAATGAAAAGGATGTAATAAAAAATTATTCTGTTTCATGTAATTGGATCTGCATACTGAGTAATTTGGTTTCAGTGCATGTGCAGCTGCAATGTAGATAGCAGACTGGCTGTATAACTCATCAGGGGAGACCTCCTTTGCATTCATGGATCCTCCGGTTCTCGCCATGTCCTCTGCTAATCCATACTGCAAGGCACACAAGATAAGATCAATCTGTATTAAATCCTTGATTTGTCATCCCCCTTTTTACTTTGGGGCTCTTGTATGGGTGTTGCCGAAATTCCTTAATTATAATGATAAAATATTATTAGTGTTTAAAGTAATGAAGGACAAAGTAAATGCTAAACCAACCAGAACTGTGCCAAGGTTGTATATTGCCCTGTGAAAATCGAATTGCAACTGTATTGCAGCACGGAACTGCATTTGAATACAAGCATAGTACATTAAGTTAGCAGAGGAAAAAATAGTTATAAACCCAAACCAAACATTGACCTGGTCAGGACACTGGTTCACTGGCCAATCACCATATATAAGTAATAAACATTCTTTAAATGAAAAGATGTTGCTAAATATAACTATATAGTATAAAAGTTAGGCATATCATAACTTAACAATGCATTGCATTGCATAGAAGAAATTGCACACTAACAAAAAGATGAAAAATGATAAGCATTCTATTTTTTTCATTTATTTTTTATTTTTTTGGGCAAATCAAACCAATGGCATATCCTTAATTTTTTATTTATTTTATTTCTTTTTCCAAGCTCCTTCAAATTTGTTTATTACTTAAGGTTTCATTTATTCTGTCACAATATTTTATTATTATGGTGCAACATTTGATAATGATCAGTATTATGGTTATAATAAACTAACACCTATATACCATAATGTCCCATTCCCCCTCTTTTTTTCATCCCCATGCATATTATTTATCAAAATCAACTTAAAACATCATCTGAAACACAGAATTTGAGGATGATTTCTACAACACGCATTTGAGGATGAATTTACTACCTTGCCGGCATTACCAAAACAGGTAGCCAGTTTTAGACAGACCTGCCTGTTTCAGTGGGTTTTGACCCGTTTTATGTATGACTGTCCAAAAGTGCTGCCCAGACCATTTTGGAATTAGGTTCACCAGGTTTCAGGATTGAACCTGTCAATCTGGTGAGTTTTTAATGACCCTCGAGCAGACAAAAATTGCTCCAGATCTTATTTTTAAAATTCACCCACTCTCTGCTAGTCAAATGGTTTCTGTACCTTATTGATTGCAGTTTTTACAATGGTCTGTTTTTCTCGAGCAGGGACAATTGCACTGAGTTCCTGAAATATGAATTCGAAGTATAAAATCATATACCAAACTTTAGGCACAATAAATTTAGCCAAAGAAACATGAAATAGAACTCCAATTATTGGACTCTAGTAACAACATAAACCCAGAATGACAAGCAATTAAATAATTGGTTTAGCAGGAAATTGTGCAGAAGTACCTGCAGAGCAAGCCCCCAGTTGTTAAGTGCCTGGAACAGAAAATCTATCTTGGTTAGAAAATATGAAGGAAATATAATTCTCTGTTCCACGATATATAATGGAAAAAGAGAAAAAAAACAGTAGCACATTCTATGAAAGGAAGTGTTGTACTGCAAGTGATACATATAAAATAGTTAGAAATTTTGGGTGGTTGAAATACAAAAAACAATAAGAAAAGACAGGAAGACGAGGACACAATCTGAGGTTTTGGTAATCGAAGAAGGAACATTGGAGACTGTTTTTCACAAGCTGATCCAAAGTTACAGCAGAAAAGGCCATTTCTTGGTTTTCTCTAGACATAATTACTCAATATATTACCTGAGGACTATTCCAATTGAGTTGAACTGCCTTCTCATAATTCTTTGTAGCCTGAAATTAGACGTAAACAAAGAAACAACATTTCAAATTGGTTTATTTTGTCTTCTTTGATCGAAATTTATTCAAAGGGGGCTCTATTCGAACACCATGATGAAGAAAAGCATAAAATTGACAGTCAATCTATATATATAGTATCTGAGACATATTTCAGGAAAATCGCAAACCTGTTTCCAAAGTTCCTCAGCTTCCTTGGTACGACCCCGCATTTTCGCCCGATCAGAGATTGCTATAGCCCAATTATAATAGGCCTTATAACAATATGAATAAGGTTGTCATTTTAAGTGAATATTTAACTTATATATAGTTATATAAAAGAATAAACACTGCAAAATAACTTATCAAGGTAAATTTAAAATCCAATGTGAAGTAAGACCAGTACAAATCACCCAGCAAATATATTATCTTGCATCTCAGTTTTCTCCTTAAAACAACAGAAACTGACGCACAAGTGTATGTACATCCAAATGTAAACAAACCGCACAAGGACATGCACATCTGCACAATCTCATGGACAAAAACTGACAATTTAGAGAACCATGATACTGCCTAGATTGGGCTTTCCATTTAAATATGGTGCACCAAAGAAGAAAAAAGCCCACAGTATTATTTTCCTTCTATTTTCCATCTGCAAGAGATGCTATTGCAGTTGCATGGAAATTATATCCACTTTTTTAGCATAGCATTGAATACATACATCATTAAGTGTAGGACAAAGACGAGTGGCCTCTTCATATTTTTTACACGCCTCTTCAAGCAAAGCATCCTTAGAAGGAGAACCTGATTCAGGATTTACATTATCTGCACTTTCCTGCATTCATAGACAAACTTTAACAACATGGTAAAAACTTTCTGATTGTTTAGATACAACTCAAAACATTACTGTCCATGAATCAATGGAATAAGTTATAAGCATGTCTATAGATAGTTTATCAATAAATACTACCCTTGAACATTGAGAATTCCTAGATGCCATGTTTGAGGACATTCATTTTCAACCAGTTATTTTTGTTGGTTAGGTTATGTTCTTTCCAATCAAAAGTGGTCGGGATGCAAAAAATCCAATGTGTACAAGAAAGCTATAGGAATATATTCTATGATATGTAAGTAATTCTTGCAAATAGAATCGAAATGGAAGGAGAAAAAGAAACACCTTTACGTATTTATTGTCAAGAAGTTCTATTCAATTCACAATCCATACCTGAAGAACCAGTGCCCAATTGTACAGCGCATCATAATCATCTGGATTTCTCTCTATTGCACTGGCATATCTGCAAAACAGTGCCAATCTTGGCAATTAAATTCTCCTCCTCAACACTGCAAGGTTTTGCAAGGATATTTTTATAAGAAAATAGTCACAAGGGTGACTTTCTCTTTGAATGAAGAAACGATAAATGGAGGACACACAACTTAACTGACTTTTCTCCACTAACGCATTAGGTGGTTTAAAAGTTTGGAGTGCTCATAAAGCTACACATGCTTCAACTTGAGAGTGATCAATAGCATAGTTGCCAAGACCCAAATACATGTTCCTGAAGCTCTACATATCTAGACACTTTCCAATTATAGTACATTCACAAAGTTTTCATTTCACATTTATCTATGTCAAAGAAGTCAATAGTCTGTATAAAATTACGACAGAGCAAGGTGACAAAGAGAGACAAAATTTAAGCAGCTAATTATCAAATCAACATGACTTAGAACAAGAAGATATAACATGTGAAGAAAGAACTATAATTGCATCACATAGTTCCTGATTTATTGAAGTTATGCCTAGGCTTGAAATAATCTTAAAGCAATGATATAAGACTAAATTTCTACTTGTTAGGAAGGACAGCAATCAAATTATGTCAAAGGATCTTAGTACTAGTGAGATATGACCATCAGATACAAAGTTTGAACACAAAGATACATTATAATGTCTGGAAACGTGATAAAATCAGTAGCAGCATCCATAAATGAAGGTGTTTTTGATATGCACCTTCATTGGCTACCTTCAAGTTTTTGAGCAATCATTTCACTAGAATTGAGCACAACTGAAACAAATTAATTCAAATTGTGAACAGGGAGTAAGAAAGGAAAGGCAGCTTACTGTACTTTTGATTGATGCAATGTAGGTTTAGAAGCTCTTTTCACATTGCAATTTGCATCGAAATCTTTAAAGCATTATCACATTTACAAACAAAAAGTAAATGAATGATGTGCACTGCAATGTTGCCAATAGTTTTACACTAGATACCTACCTCCTTGCAGCAAATGTAAGAATCCGTAGGCGAGACCTACCCTCCTCATCAACCCCTGTGACACTATCAATTAACTCCACGGCAGCATCATTCTGGTTTTGCTGTTGTGTACTTGATTGACTGGATAAATCAGTTGTGCAAGATACCATGCAAAAACACAGGAATTAGCATTTGTCATTTGTCACAATAATAACACGACATAAATGGCAGAAAGTTTCACATAACCTGTTCAAGACAGAAGAATATGGAGGTAAACAGAAAAATGCTACAAATAATTGTTCAAGGAAATTTACATACTTAGCACTCAAGAAGCAAACAAACTCTTTAAGTAAATGCAATTATTCCGGGAAGGATGGAGACTGAGCAATTCTAATTTTTGCACCAAAACTACTATTATCAATCAAAATAAGACTAATAAAGCAAACAGCAGGAGATAAGTCAACAGTAAAGAATTGGTCAAGGGAATTATAAAACGTGGGTAGCGTAAAATTATACTTTAACGAACAAAGGTACATGTAGCATTGCATTGACAAATTCTCAAATCTCCTGTGCTTCTAGATAAACAAAATTACCTAACATGGCATCACAAGCAAAAGTAGTTGAACTCATCTCTCAAAATATTTCTCTGTTAACTTGCAGGAAATGTTTCTGTTAATCTGGCACCTCGCACACAACTTGTACACAAGGAAGTCAGAAAGACTAGAGAAAATGCTATATACCACTACTATGTCGTAGGCAAATGTATTACCAAGATATCGCCTGAATTTAAAGGCTCGAAGAATATACTGCCTTTTTGTGGTCAACCATAACCAATCACACAATTCAGAAGGAAGAGCTAGCAGCCTAGCAAAGAATGTATCTTGTGATGCAACAGACTTTATACCAATATGATATGAAAGGTGGGCAGCCTGGACATACAGCATTAAAGGACCAAATGTAGACATATAATTCAGTTAATTGGAGACTTTTATTGGTACAATATGAGCTATAAGCTTTTCTTTGGTTTATATCAAATGAATTGAAGCCTGTGTGGCAACTGAAAAGTTGTGAATATGCAATATATATTAAATGTGCTTTGGAAAGATGTTTTGAGAGTTCTAGGGGCCTCAGGGAAGGGGATCATCAAAGCTGACCTCTTTCCATGGCAGGGATCTGCTTCAGTTTGTAAGCCATTGAAAGAAGAGGATTGGGTTTAATGAAGTTAACTGAGTGGAACCAACAGCTATAGGTAAAATCCAAGTAAAGCAGTTATCATGAGACGTCCTGGTGTTGGAGCCTAGGAAGAAGATGCCGCAGCTTGAAGAAAAATTAAAATAAAATGGCCTATAGGAGGAAAGATACATCCATACAGCAAGAGTTGATAAATGAAACACCAGCAAATTTTTTCACAATAACAAAAGCAAGATCATAGTCAAGTGACTTCCAGGCACCACAAGGTTGTAGTTTGTCGAGTCCGCATGGAGACTCCTAATGACAAGAGCAGCCTCAGTAACACAGTATCAGGGGCATGATTCTAAAAGAGCCCATGTTTGCTTTCGATCTTTGGGCTGCAGTATAGTGAAGAAGAGGAAATGGGGAGTTGTACATGGTAAAGTATGTACTATGTCAACACAACATGGCCACAAAAATACTGGCCATAATTTTTCAAATGCATTTATTCAGGGTAAATGTGATGAACCATATACTCCAGCATATGTATGATGGTAGTTGTGAATGGGATTGATTTGGATGTTAAATACATTTCATGGTATAATTTCTGCACTAGGCAATACGTGATGGCTTCCCAGGAGCTGTCTATTTTACGTGGAAGGAAAATAGCAGTAGAAGACATTTCCCTAAAAGCAGAGAAGTAGAGATTTGTTCTCGATATATCCACTAGCTCGACAATGATTGCCAAGAGTTGCAGGGCAATACTCAATACAAAGAAAACTGGTGAATTAACCATTGCACAGGGGTTGACAACGAAAATCTTCTTCAGAAAACTGAATCTATAATAAGGTGCCATTAGTAGGAGATTGTCAAGTAAAATGATTAGAATGACTCTTTCTTCTATTAATTAGTGTAGTATCATGGAAGTTGCAATTTTAACAAAACACTGTCTTCTACATCTTCAAATTTAATCAGCAATCACCAATAAGCTTGCAATAGAACTGTCAAAGTACTTTTCTACGTGATCACACGAGTCCCCAACTACTAAAGTACTCTTCTATAAATCTGTCATCAATCCTCCCAAATCACTTTCTAAATAATCACACTAAGAATGGAATTTCACAGTGCCAGTCTAAATTGTACGTTAAATAACTCAGCCTATCAACCACTATTACCCAAGTTTTTAACTTCATTTAAATTTTCTTAGTCAATCCAGAAACTGATCCTACCAATTCATTTCATTTCACATATATTCCTCCAATCCTACATTTGCATATTAGTCAATTTCTCAAATCGATTTGACCAAAAAAAAAAAAAAATGTTGAACATTTGGTTTCTAAATCAAAAGAATGAAACTGACCTCTGAGGAGTATCGACCTCCTCAGTGGCATCACCGTTCTTCAATTCATTCAACAATTCTCTCATGGTGAAAGTCCGATTCTCTTCCTCTTGTTTCAGATTCGGTTCACTCCTCGCATCATTCGTTTTTACCTCCTTTTCCTCAGATTCACTTGTTACACTTGGCAGGATTGAAATTTCTTCAGGTCCAGAATTTGATGGCTCCGCATGGACTGATTTTAATTTGTTCGATTCAATTACGTCATCGATTTTGGAATTCTCTTCTGCATCAGGTGATTGTACGTCAGTATGATGGATTCCGGTATCGTTTGAATCAAGATCTGGATCGCTAGCTGGTTTAGGCTCGGGTTCGGGAGCTCCGTTTTCTAAGTGTTCAGCATTTGAAGACATTATTTTAATGCAGTAGATCAAAGGATTTGGATGGTTGCAGATTTGTGAGAGGGGTTCTTTCAGTTGAAGCAGAAACTCAAAATGGGGAAAGCAGTATTTTTTGACACTGATTTTAACGAAATTTCATATTTACACTATATATATTGAGAAAAATTTGCATTTTTCCCTCAACTTTGTGAAATGTAACAAATATATCCTCAACTTTTTTTTTTTTAACATAATATCCAAGCAGGTTCAAGTGCCTGAAGAGCATATTTACCGAAACAAATATGATTACCTCGATAAGATATTCCCTTCATTCTTCCTCTATGTTGTTTACGGAATCTAGTTCTTTTGGGGTAGACGACCTTTTGATTTTTCATTTTTTTCATTGAAAAAGGAATAAGAATGAGAAGTGTTAAGCTTTTTATCATCCTGGCGTCGAGCTATTTTTCCGCAGGACCTCCCTCTTCCTTAGAGAAAGACGATCAAACAATTCCCAATCATGGTCCTTGCGGATCGGATCATCCATATAATATACAAAAAGAAACTCCAGATATTTGATATCTTTCTCTTTGAATAAGATCTCAATTCCAGCGACGGTTTCATTAGATATCTTACAACTAGAATCCCTCTTTAAAACTTGTCCTTCCCTTCATTCTGACCAGTATGAATTTGCCCTTCTTTTTAAACAAATAAAAATGGACAAAAGAGTAAAACAACAACAAAAATGTGAAAACGCATTTATTACTATAAGTGAATCAAAAGGGTTTCATTATTTATTTATTAATTATTATTTTATTTTAACTTTTCATTTTGTATTGATTTCATCCCATTTCAATTTTTATCTCCCTTTCTGTCCCCCAACGTTTCATTAATTCACTCAAATGGTCCCTCTATTGATTTCCGTCAAAATTTTCTTTAATGACACGACAATTCTACACTTTAACTTAAATAAATTGAAAAGGCAAAAAGAATTGTGACAGGATTAACACTCATAAATTTTGTGGTGAGAGGATTGAATTAGGGATTACTCGTACCCATGGAACTGGGGCATCCCAATTCCAAAAATTGATCAGAAATCAATTCATTAGAATCCAAGCAACCATAGCTGAATGAGGGTAAGAGCTTAATCCATCGATTGTGGAGTCTATTTTGATTGATTTGGCTGTCAACAGGGTAGAGCGGGATGGGTGTTTGTGAGTGGTTAAGCTTTTAGCAGTGTTCTAAAATACACGCATGTGGTTGTATATGTTCGATACGTTTTCAAGATGCCTCGCATATGGGATATGCGCGTGACAATGTGACCAAACTATTTCGTTGACCGCATAAACATGCGTTCAAATGTAAAAATGTGCACGCATATGCGTTAAAGAATGTGTTAAAATTAGTCTAGTAAAGCTCAACCCAAGTTTACAACTAAAAAAGGCAAATTAAGTTTAAGAAACATCAAATTAGCCCAAATTACTGAATCACATGAATTATATATAGTAATTTATAGGGTTTTGACGTTTAAAAAAATCAAAAACCAAAATAAATTTTTCGTTGAGCTACAAACTATCTACGTCGAGCCCCAAACCTCCTTCTTCGGTCTTCTTCTAGTTTAGTAGCAAGCGATCCTAATAATGCACAATCTTCAATAGTTGATGATTGTGATGATGATGAGGTTGATAATGAAATCTTTCCATCTACAAGAAGTAATAGAAACTCTTGAATCAAAATAAGGGAGCTCGATAAAGAGCTAGACAAGATTGAATTGAAATCCAATAAAGAGCTAGACAAAATTTTAGATTTTTTTAAGTCGGTGTTCTTGTCTAAATTAATAATAGGAATTTATTACAAAGTAATTGTAGTACACACACACTCTTATAATATTTAATTCTCGATTGAGAGGCATTGTCACGCATTATGTATTTTAGAACATTAGCTCAAGCAGCAAATAGAGGAATTTTTGGTGGGGGTAAGGGTGGAATTTTGGGTCGGGTAGTTGCAACTTGAGAAAAATTGGTTTGCTTGTTCGAGTATTTTAAACTTTGATGATATCATATTAAATCTTAATTTTTTAACTTAAAAAGATTAATTTAGTCAAGAATAATCAAGGCCTCATATTTAAGGGATATAAATTACACTTGAACCACAATAATTTGTCATGTTTGAGGTGTATTTATGTGAACAACACTATCATGCCAACCTGTCATTTGATAGATATAAAGAGACCAATAGCTATCCAACTGCAATAAATATTTAAGCCCAGTGACCCAATACTAATTAACAACAAAATTTTGGACAACTCAAGTACCACTACATACTAGAATAGTTCCCTGGAAACTTTCGATTGCATCGTTTGAAGTTCTTGTATCAATGAAGCATTTTCAAATAAAATAATGTTACACAAGCACAAAGTAATCAGAAAAAATACATTTACTGATGACCAATTTAGCAGGTTGCCACTTCATTCAAGAGTCTTGAGCACTGTCAAATACAGCACAAATCCCATAAATTACTCAATTCAGAACTCGCCTATCAAGTCTTAGTTCTGAAGAGTGTGAGGATACCATCGGTTTTGACCGTTGTAACAACAGACAGACTAAGTAAAAAAGATCAAAAGAAGACATCAGCCGAACAAATTTGGTCACGACATTTTCTCTTCTAAATCTTATGAGTTATGCTGCTTGGATAGGGTTTGGGGACAGGGTCTGTGACAGGTGCTGCGTTGTGGTTCCTTTCTTCTTTTCTTTTCTGTTTTTTTTTCTTCCAAACTGCCAAATGAAATGTTGACACGCGTCCCCTTGATTTTAAATCTTGTCACCAACCCTACTTGTGTAGCATAACTCAAATCTTATCATGAAGGGTCGCGACCAAATCATGGGCATCGTCTAAAAGTTTCCACACGTCAAGATGTCCAGACATGCTATTGCACTCCCGCATGATTTCATCCATGCTGCTGTATTTTTCTATGATCAGTTTCCTCTTCTGCAATACAGAAGCTGCTATTGCATACAGTAATAGATCCTCCGTAGGTGGTGCTCTAAGCATCATCCTTCCCCAAGCAGATTTTCCAATTCCCGCCCGAATCGCAGCTTGATCTGCCCACATAACTTCCCAGAGGCAAAGGGTCTGCTCGAAGGTTAATTCCCGTCTGAACAGAACAACCACCATTCTGTACACGAAGAAACAATCTTCTGCCTGAAGCTTCTCCAAGTGTTTGAAAAGATGTGAATCCTTGCCCTTGATGATCTTAGACACGATTTTCAACTGCCTTCTGATTCCCATTTCATCAAGACGAAAGTTATGTCGAGCTTTCCTCATAAAACCCACAAAGCACCAGAACGCTACATGGTCATCCGCTATAACTGAGATAATTGGAGAGAGTAAATCACTCATCCCCTGGCAATAACCAGTCTCAGAATCGTATAATGCATAAGCTTCAAGAATGGCAACAAGACGAGCGGCATGATGGATCATGCATGGCTCCAGATGATCATAATCCTTCAACCCCACACTCTCAGCTAATCGTCGTGCCTTCACCTCCGGCACTGAAGCTTCAGATGGTGAGTAAACAATCCATTCAGAATTAGCACGCACTGCATCAACACGTATGATCCGCTGCCATGAAGCAAAATCTTCAGCAGTATAAGACGTGGATCTAATTTCCGTCTTGTAAGAAGTGGACTCATTAATTTCAATATCTTCCAATTCTATTGAACCAAGGAGAGGTTTCATATCGTCAGATTCTTCCGAGGAATCGGAATCAGAAGACTCAGTTTGTTCTTCAGAAATATTTTCATCCATAATTCCACTCTCATCTTTTTCATCCACTAATGTACTGGATGTTTTAAGGAGTAGAATATGTCCAGACATTGTGGATATCTCCCCTGAAAGAGAAGATCTGGAACTAGCAACTTCTTCCAACACAGGAGAATCTGAACCTTGATTAAATTCACTAGCATCGTTACTTTTATTTCCAGAAGTCTCTGATTTGGAACTTCTATCACCGCATTTTAAATTTTGTCGACACTGTCTCCGCAAGTCCAAGTATTCTTTTCTGTGACAACGGTACGTGAAAGCAAGGGTGATCACTTGAATTACAAACGAAAAGAATAAAATGACACAGAATTGCTACAGAAGGAACAAACTAAAAAAGGTGGAAAGAGAAAAATGCCATTGTGAAGGTAAATTTACCTTTTTTGAGCTTCAATCGCATCTCTTTCTTTTTGTGAACTTTTCACATCATAGCTGCAAGGATAAAAGATGCAGTCAAGAAAAGAGTATTTCAATTCAAAAAATATTTGATACACAACGAACAAACCAGTCACAAAAGAAAATCACAAAAAAATACCATTGGTACAATCTTGCCATGCAAATTAAAGAAATTTTGGACTGGGAATACCTAATAACTGAATTTCAATTAACCAGAAACAACTTATTCATCACTGGAAGACATAGATTCAACCATGTCTTTGGACCATAAATTGTGAAACCACGTAATCCAAACTGGAACTAAATAATGTGGCAATAATTTCATATTGCAAATGCTGTGTAACCTACACATCTCTTTGGTGCCACCCCATGCTTGAAAATATAAGCCCATTATTTCAGCCAAATTTGCATGCTAAATTGGTGGGGCAGCACAGAATAATCCACCAAGATAAAAATCCCTAGTTTTCTTTTACCAATCGAGAAGGAAAAAACACCAATGCATTTCAATTGGATAACTAGACAGGAAAATAGACCCTCGAGACATTTCAGAAGGATATATATATATATATATTCAATAAAAAGTTGCATTATTAGCTTCTTTTAGAACTTAATGGATATGTAAAAACAGCATAATGCTTAACAATGAGAACCAAGCTGTGATGCAATGACACTAACTTCACATCCTTGGACTAACCAATTATTTAATTTCTACGGTAAGACAGTAAGTTATCGAAATATTATTAGAGTGAAATATTCGCAAAGTTAAAGTCAGGTCCCTTGTTAAGTACTTCAGATTACAGAATGCTTAAAACTAAAGGACAAAAAAGATCAGGAGACTAGAAAATATAAAAGTAAAAAACAAAATTCTAAGCCATATATAAGCTAATAAGGACATGAAGTGTCCACTAAGCTTGAAATGGCAATTCCCGCAATACGTGAATAAAGTATTTGAAAGAATGTGTAAATATATAATTCATGATAATATTAGTGAACCAAGTATACAGATTTATAAACATGAAAAAAAATGCTTACAATCCAAGAAGGAACGGCCAAACCTCTGCCCGTATGCTTGGTTCAACACCCTGCATTAATTATAGGATTATTTGAGCTAAACTGCGTAGACAGGAAAACTTGAAGATAACTAATTTTACATATCAAGCAAAAGTGTGAATTGAAAAATACATAAACAACAGAATGTGCGTATATAAACATTAAAAGATTAACATACTCCACTTCGAACTTTCTTCAGCAACTTGATTCCCCCATCAGAGAGTTTCCCGTCTGCGTCAAATAAACTCTTCCATTGTTTGGCAAGAAGGGCGTGTTTTCTCCTCCTCCTAGACCATGGTGATTTAAGGCTCTCCCTGAAAGGAATGGGCACAAAAGATAAAATTTTCCACCAAAGACTACATTTAAAATAGATAGCAGAAGCTCAAAACTGAAGAACCTACAAAATCACGAGATGGATCAAATAAGTTTCACACTACACGCTATGCATTTGATCCTAGTCCTAATAAATTAACCAAATTACCTAAATCAACTGAAAAGAAATGAAAAGCTCGAATGCGTCCAAACTTTGCTCGCTCAGTGGATTTCATTACTTACACTTCAACCAAATTTAGCTTGAACAATAGAATATGTATATCTCAAAAATTTTAAAATATATTTTGCAAAACTCGATTTTTTCCCCCATATCTGAATCCAAATCAGAGTTTCCCATCAACATTTTAGGAAAGAACAAAATAAAATAGATTTCTACCTACTCCGAATATTCTAGAATCACTCAACTATCACACTATCCGGGAGGAAATGAAAAAACATGTAAAAACCTGAAACTCACAGTGANCTCCGAATATTCTAGAATCACTCAACTATCACACTATCCGGGAGGAAATGAAAAAACATGTAAAAACCTGAAACTCACAGTGACGTATGCTACAAAACCAAAGAAGAGAGCAGAAGAATTTCCTAAAATCAATTTTTTTCCTGTACGTATTTGATAAAAGTCTTAAAAATCAGGATCCGAGCTGCAATAAATAAAGCCACCGAAAAATTCAATCTTTTCTTATATCCTGGTGTAAGACAGGATAACGAATCTAAAGATTAACTCGGAAGTAAAGACAGTGACTAAAAACTCACCGATCAGAGGAAACTGGGGAGGATGAGGACGAGGATGAAGAAGCGACGATTAATAGAACCGATCTCAAATGAATCCACGACGACGTTTGCGACGATGAATTATTATTTGAAGGCGACGAATCTGACGAAGTCTGGCTCCGCCTGAGTGCCCTCATTAACGGTTTCTGTTGTACCAACATCTATATATCTGTGTATTTATTCTCTATAACGAAATATATCATAAACCTCAACTAAGTCTTTATAATCTCTATGAAAAAACCACGTCTGAATGGAAACTTCAATTGACGAAGTTGATGGTAAATTTCTTTTTATTTCTTTCTCATTTTCTATCTTCAGTGTTTTTACCTACGGGAGTAGACGATTAGCGGTCAAGGTTAGACTGGCCTTGGCCTTCACGGCTATGACTATTCGGACATTGAAGGTATTCACCAAGATTCCACTCGCGCTGCCATTTCCAGATCCTCCGCCGTCAGCCTCCCCAATGAAGACGCTTCAACTCCTTCTCCGATAATCATGACCACCGGAGAAGGCGCAAGACAATGATGTCAGCAAGTTACGGCCGCCGGTGAGTGCGAAATTACAGCTATGCCCTCACCCTCTTCGTCACTCCCAGGTTTCTATATACCATTACCAATCTTCCCCTTTTCTATACTCTCTTTTTTTGCTTTTTAAAGGTTATGTAATAAAAATATTAATTGAAATTGCTAAAACTATAATAATATTTAATTCGGAAACTTTCACTCAAGACGCCAAACATTTACGCTAGGAGCATTTGGATCCCACTCTTATTTTTTTGATGATCACATCGCTAGACTTTCATGGTGGGTGTCAAAACAAGAGTGCCGAAATATTATTGTTTCAAATGATTGAAGTATGGTAAAAGAAAAACTTTTCGGAATTTGTGGACTCGACGGAAACAAAACTAAGAAAACGAAAAAAAGTACGTCGTTAATTACATTTATTGTTGGAGAAAGGGCAAACACAACAAACGAAATAGCCCATAATATGGTATTCACGTGGTCGGCAAGTGGATATTAGTAATAATCATGCTCATAAAATTCACTAGTAAGAGCATGTTTGGTGGGAATTAAAATTAAATTTTTTTTAACTCATTGTGAAAGAAGTTTTTGAAATGTATAGTTGAAAAGTTGTGAGATCCATGAAAGATATGATTAATATTGATTGTTTGACTTTAACTTAAATTAAAATTAGATTTTAATCTAAACCAAACAGACCCTAATACTAAGTAGTAAGAGTATTAAAAAAAAATTAAAAATGAAATACTTTCTATTTTAAACGTTTCAATAAACTTTTTAAATTAATATTTTAGAATAGATAGCGTGTTTGACTCTTTAATTTTGGAAATTCAAACTCACTCTAAGTTAAATTGTAAGACTGTTTTAAATAGAGTTCACCTTCAAAATCGATTTGAAAGAAGAAAGTACAAAGTGCTTATAAATCAAAATATGTGTATTCCATGAGCATTGTGAGATGCAATTAAAGTCATTTCAATATTTGACTCTAGAAGAGATGATATCCATCAATTTGATTTTGGTATCCACGTGGGCCATTATTGACGTGAGATGTAAACATAAAAAATATCAGAATGGAGATCCGAGTGCTTTAGTGTGAATGTTTGGGGACCTTGGGTATAAATTTCCTAATGAAATTACATAACTGCCCATGATGCTATTTTAATTATGGGAAATCTGCGATGTATCCATCTGATCGTGACTCAGATACTGCCATACTAGAAGTGCGGAAGGCCTGTAAAATTTAGGAAATTAAAGTAAATAATTATGAAAATACATTTTTAAAAGTAGAAAAACAAAATTATTGTCTAAATATGTGGTTAAAAATGAGTATAAAAATTAAAAAGTTTTGAAATAATCATCATCGAATAGAGGCTAGTTTTTTGGTTTCATTTTCATACTTTCTAATTCAGATGCCAAATTGTTGATTATTCTTAATTTATATTTATAAAATCATATAAAAATTTATAAATTGAATTAGTAATCGAATTAATTGATAAGGTTATAAAAAATAAATATTTTAGAATTAAATTAAGCCTGTGTTTGTCCCTATTTAAAACAAATTCTTTAATTCTCATACTCATTTTTAACTATACATTTATATAATAAAATATTTAATACGCAAATTCAAATTTTTTCTTATTTTTTAACCACAGATTCTCGAAAAAATAATTATTTAAAACGTCATTTTTTTCTTATAATGACCATCAAATATGGGTTAAATTTCAATTCTTTAACTGAAACTAAAAACATGTTACGACCGTTTGATTCTTGATTCTAAGATTCAAATAAGTTAAAATTTATCTAGAATCAAATTAGAATTTAGCAGGTAGGTTCATGGTATAGTCCTAGCGAACAAGCCCACCTTATTCGAGTGGAATGGAGTTGTTTGATGGATTTGAATTACGTAGTTTGGCATGTTTTAATGAGTGATTAAGTAAAAGTATTTTTAAAGTGCAAAGGGTTTACTTAGGGTTAAATATTATTAGTAATAGATTGAGTATTGCTAGAGTTGAATCCAAACTTTGCAAGTCTCTAGTTCCAATCAATAGTAATTATATTTACAACAAGATCTCAATTATAATATAAAGTTCTCAAGATATTGTATGAACGTTATGAGAACAATACAAACCGTTATTTATATATATAAAATCTTAGAAATCAAGTTGTGGATGAATAAGAGTCCTAAAAATGTCAAAACGCGAAAACGGGCCTAGACCTGATAAACTTGTCGCTTGAGCGCCAGGCAGGCAACAACCTCGCCGCTTGAGAGCCAAGCAGATGACAAGTTTGTGTAGAAAATATGTAGTTGTCGCTCGAGCGGCCAACTATCGATAGGATAGCAAAAATGCAATGACTTTACTTCCCAATCCATAATTTAATCTCTCCAAAACCATTTCAATTAAAACTCCAATACTCACGAGAATTTGGATCATATTATAACAAATTTTTACCTTGAAGGCTTGAACCAAATTCCAATATAATGACTTTCAAAAAATACATCTCCAAAGTAAACACCATTCCTCATCTTTCAAACAAATCTTAATGAGCTATATCAATGACAAACACTAATTCAGTTCAATTATTGTTCAAACCTAGCAATGGGAAGTGATTTTGTTATCATATCATCAGGATTATCCTTGGTATCAACCTTACTCACTACAATATTACCACGAGCAATTTCTTTAGACACAAAACGATATCTCACATCAAAATCCGTTGCTTAAATACAGAGTTAATATTTTATTTATAGCTTTGTTAATTACCTTAAGGGTGCGTTTGATTACAAGTAGGAAAATTACATGGAAAGAAAATGAATTCCAGGGAATTGAATTACCTAGAAATTATTTTCATGGAAATTGTAAATTATTGTGTTTGATTGTATAAATTTTTCACGTGAAAAATGTTGAAGTAAAAGTATTTTTTGATGTTCGTTTGACTTTGTTTTACGTGGAAATTGTCAATTTCAGGGATATCCTCTTTTACAATTATTCCTAAAATTTGTTCCCATTGCCAACAATTAAAAAAAAAAAAAAAAGCAAAAAATAAAAAAAAAATAAGGTGGAAAACCAAAAACCACCTATCCCCTAGGAAAAAAAAAGTTGGAAAATCACGCTTTAAGGTGTTGTACCTAGAAATTCATGGAAAATCAATTCCCTGGAAAATTTTGTCAATCAAACAGGCCAAAAGTGGAAGTTGGAATTCGAATTCCAAGTTCCATGGAAAATTTCGTGTAATCAAACGGGGCCTAAAAATTCCTTTTAATAAAAATTACCTTAAGTTTTTCATAAAAAAATAAAATTATGCCTTTTGTTCCATTGTATATGTCATATAAATAGAAGAATAAGGAGAGCCAACAACTCCTCCAATGAATACTGTCGTCTTCTATTATATTCTACGTTACATAAATTTGATTGTGATGTTACGCAAAAAATAGTATCATATTTTGTCCGAATCTTTCCGTTAAGTCCAAAGCAAACAAAATTTGACTTGAGTGTAAACAATTTGAATATATTAGGTAGTGATTAGTATTTCTTAACTTATCAATAAGTTAATATTAAATTTCAATAGTTTGTGTGTTTAATCTTTTCTTGTTTCATTTTATCTTGAAAATATTTTGAATCGAGTCAAGCAGGAATTTAGAGGAGAAGAAATTATGTTAATTAATTAGGAAAAGTTCATAAAAGAGAGAGTAAGCCCCCGTTTGGCCCCATTTTTTGAAACAAAAATGGGTTGAATGGTATTTGTTTGAAAAAAATGAGTAGCTGAAAAAGAAGGAAATTTTTTTAATTTACGTGTAATATTTTTTATGGAAGATTGTGTGATTGAAAATAAAAGAAAGAAAAATGAAATAGAATTTAATGGGGACCAAATAGGGTTAAATGGTTTCAATATATTTCTAAAAGGTAATTTGGTGCTACCATTTTCAATAGTATTAATACGTGTGATGGTAAATGCAAATGCAGTGAAAAAACTTCATCGAGTTAGAAAAAGATTTCAGGACTCGTTTCGCACGACTTTTATTTTTGCGTCTTGTAGAAAAATTTCTTGAGTAAGTTGCCTTAATTTTATTTGAAAACTAATTTTTGAAAGATCTTCTATATATCTAAAGTGCTTTTAGAGAAAATTATATTAGACCAACTTCTTCTAAAAGTTCTTCTAATTAAAAATAAATAAAAAATACTTTCATAAAATTAATCAAATAAGTTCAAAAGCAACTTATAAATTTAAAAACTCTTTTAAATTTTTTAAACGTCGTGTCAAATGGACCCTAAGATAGCTTAGTAGTGGAGCTCGCCCCTAATTGTGCTATCTTGCATGGTGGAAATGGATGGTTTAATCTTTTTATAAAGCATAATATAATAGGCGATCATGTTAGGGGGACAAAAGGGCATGCTACAATAATTACCCGATTGTGGTGCACCAAATTGCTCAATCACCCCCAATTATTTTACTCTAACTTATAAGCAAGTTTTAATTCAGACAAGACAAGAAAACATAAAAGAAAAGAAAAGGGAATATGTATATATATAAGTCAAAGCACAAGTTGGGCAATTTGGATTTTAAAGAGCACATGGGACTTGGAAGCAACGCAAATGCGTGAAGTAAAGGGCAGCATAGCCTCCCTTTTATGCAGACAATGTGCCCTTTGGCTTTGCCCTCCACGCCACCTTTAATATTAGTCAGTAGTCACATTAATTATAAGGTTTTGTTCATTGCTACTTGTTTATTTGATGTTAAATTTTACTGCATATTTTCTTTTTAAATTTTAGATGCATTGCATTTATCTAGCAAGTTGTCGATAGGAAAAAAAATTGCATGCCAAGCCAAGTGAATGTATAGGTGAAAAATATATAGTTGAAGAACGAGTTGAGTGGTTTTTTTCGAATAATTCATTTGTCTTAGTCTCGTGGCCATTTAGTATTTTGTTGTGATGGATACCAAGATCTCAACGAGCTCTTCGAAATAGTGTTATTATTGTTTAACGTAAATGTAGAGTTTTTAAGATATGCACTTCTTCTATAGCAGGAAAAATGATTCCCATCGTGTTCTCTAATAAGCGAAAATAATTTTTTTCCTCTAATTTCCATTGCAGTGATAAAAACTTAAATTATTAACGTTTCTTATATATCCAACTATGGTAGTGATTGCAGA